CATATATGTTGAAGTTTATGGTTAAATACACTTATCAAAGGGCAAGCTACAACTTTTCTAAAAAATAAATGTAACTCCTATTTCAAAACTTACCATAAAAAAGATGGAAATAGATTGATTCAGTAGCGTATGGCAGTTGAGAAATCTGATATGCATGCTTTGATTACAGCAAAAAATGAAATACCTTATGTTGAGCTCTTCTTTTACTTCTTAAAAATATTGAAAGGTTTGCATTTCATGAGACCATGAGCATTATCAAGGGCTTAAGACTAACAAAATGCAAGATATGGATCATGTGAACCAAAAAATACCGCTTAGTAAAAGATTCAGTAAAGTTTTTATGGATAACTCAAGAGACAGGAGTCTTGTATTAGACAGTCATTAATGTTCTATCTTCTAATCCAAATTCATTCAATTTAAGTTGGGTTGAATGTTTTACGTCAACTCCACTTCCAATGCAGGAGTGCAGGAAACAGGTTCCCATTTGGACAGAATGCGCAAACTGGCTAAATATCAATAATGATCAAGATCGACTCCAAATTAAGGTTAAGGTAATGGAAATTAAATGTCCTTAAAATACAGTCCAGTACCTTAGTTTTCACAGGGGTGTCCCCTGCTTCCACCAGTACCAGCAGGCAGCCTCAGCTGCATTCATGAAACAAAGTTGACCAGAGGTGTTTGATGAATTCTGGATAATGAATAAAAGTGAAAGAAATATAAAGGAAAAGGAAACTAAGTATACTGGGGGAAAGATACTTCAACTCACTTCTGATACAGATTCTGCTAATGATTCAGAAAGATGCTAGATTCCCTGTAGCAGGCTGTGTGGGTGAGGAGGTGACATGCTAGCAAGTCCAGGTTCCTGCTTACAGACGTGGGTTAGTGACAGCAATAGGGTACCAGAAACTGCTGCAAAAAAAGATTCCCAGAGAGTGAGGACAGTCCTCTCCCCTTGCAGGTGGTGAAAACTGCAATGGTTTTGGATAGATGTAATTCAGTAAGGTAACTGATTAGATCTTGACTACGTTTCTGGAAATCAAGAAGCAGTGGAAATGGAGATTTGAAGAGATTTACAGCAGACACTTGATGTATTTATTTAACCACCTCCCAGCTAGAGACTCTATAGCATGCTTCTGTACACTAATATGCAGAGTTCAACATAAAATGGTAATTTAAAAGTTGACTAGCAGTTTTACCATCCTAAATGGCAAAGCCATGTCTGACCACAAAGAAAAACTCTATGTAAAATTATATGTATGCACCCTATCTAAAGGATGTAAACCAAATCACTTCATACTGCTTCAGGCACTTGCTACACCTTCTTCTATTAGGACACTCTCTGCAGGGTCCAAACTATTATTTCTAACTTCTGTAATGCTTCAGAATAGTTTGATGGTTTTCATTTAAATATCCTGCTGGAGAAGAGTTTATTATTTCTTTGAAATATTGAAATATTTCTTTGAGTATGGAAATGCTCAATTTTGCCTAGACTAACTATGAAGTATAGACAATACTCAACCATGCATTACTGTGACAAGACCCATAAGCCAAACTTGTGATCTATATGGCCTAAATAAGAATGTTCTGTAATATAAAAAAAGACCAAATCAACCAACCAACCAAACAAAAAAAAAAAAACCAAACCAAAAACACACCCAACAAACAACCCCCCTCTGATTTCTCATGAGACTCAGCACTTCCAGGCAAACTTGGAAGTGTGAGTCTTTGACGTTGTATTGCAACAAGATCAAACTCCAGCTATGCCTCCCTGCTCTTTTAAAAAAAAGTTTACAAACACGTTTATGTATCTCCTCTTCATCTTACTAACAGAGGGAAGAGAAAAGAGTAACATTCTCAGAAAAATGTTGAAAATAATAATTTCTAAAAGGCTCTGCATCTGCAGAAGAAAAGTATCTCACAACATCTCACATACTGTGGTGCAGGAGACAGCTACTGCTTCTTCCCACGAGCAGTTCCAGGTTTACCAGTACCTGTTTAAGAGCCTCCATACTAAATCCCAGTTCCACAAGTGGCTTAACAAAGCAGTGCACAAGCAAATGGACAGCCTGGGAACAAAGACTACACATCTAAGAGGTGGATCACACACTTATAGTGACTTAACTTTAAAAACCTGGCCAATAATACACTACATAGGTTATTACAGAATACTTATGCATTGTTAGAGATAGGGAAGCAAGATCAGAAAGCAGTTATATCAGTATTTAACAAAGTAGCTAACTCACTGTACACGAGATGTCTTCTCAGTAATTATTTTCCTGTGGCTCAAAGTCCTGAAACTTAATTACAAGAAATTAGGGGCTTCTACTCTACAGTAATTTACTTGCCTGAAATTAATAAATCAATAAGAGACTACTATGCCTTAAAGTATCTAAGCTGTATTTGTAGACATGCTGTTCTTTGATGTCTTCTACTTTATTTTATTACCAATGAAGTATCACAGATGCAATTATTGTAATACCTGAAACTGTCATAATATGCAATTAGACCTTTTACAAACCAGTGAATCACCATATAGTCTGTACTATTTGTAAGTACAAACCATGACATGACACACCAATTCGATGTGTTGATTCTGGATGTTTCTTAGTTTTCTTTTATAAAACAGTAAATACAATTCACACTTCTTTTCAAATACTGTTCAAGAAAGGGTGGCAGGTAAAATGCAGTTCAGCCTACTGCAAGACCACTCTTAAATGCAGTGTTTGAGTATACAGAATTTCACAAAGGTTTGTGCAAGCCACTCACACTCTTATAAAGTTGTGTACCTTGTCCTTGGGTTGACAGTGTTGCAATTCGGATGCTAGCGAGGCAGTGTCTATTTAAATAAATTACCGATCTGGCTGCTGAAAAGGCACAAACTGCCTTTTTAACTTCCTACAATCTTTCATTCAACTTCTATTTTTTTTAATATAATAAAGTTTTTTTTAGGCTTGCCTAAGTCCTTCTGATATGTGGAAGAAGTATTTAACCAGTATAAAAACTTCCAAGATCTCTGCTGTTCAAATGCACTAATCTAGAAACAGTTCCATAATAAAGGAAACTTTCCGTTCATCATTTATAAAAACATAACATCAGAAATATGAAAAAATATCACAAAAGAGGCTATAAAAAAGTAATTTTAATTCAGTTTAGGTAGAATAGATTCCCTTAGGTGAACAGAAATCTAATTTAAATTACTACAGTCTTTCACTATTTGCAAATTAAATTATACTGAACTGTCCAATTCAGAGAAAATTGGATTTAGTTTAATCAGTCTTGAACTATGACAGTTTTGCTTTTTCAACTTCTAGAAATGCATATCCACTAGGGGAGCCAAATAAGGCTTGATGCCTGAAGGAAAAGTATGAGGATTTAACAAATTTAAACGGTTTGGCTCTTTTAACTAGATGACAGACACACTTCTAGGTGTGGAGAGGGCTGGAGGGTGTGGTAAGGCATGGACACAGGACCAAAACAATATCCAGAACAGAAAGGTTGCAGAACTGCTGAAGCAGATAATGAAGAACAGTATGAAGCTCCACACTAAATTTCAATTAATTTGAGATTCAAACAAAAAAATCCATTGTGTGTATGGTATTATATACTAAAAAATGTGATTCTGTTCCACAGACTTTCACCCATGCGAAGGAGGGAAGATTTTGACAGCTGTTAGAAGTAAAACAAATAGGAGACTCTGGAGGCCAAGTATTGCAGCCTTTCCCAAAGTTCAGCTGATGCTCAGATTCCAAGAGTCCAGTCAATCCAAAATTTACTTACGGATACGAGCCTTCACCATGGAAAAAAACCCATGATGTGGCACTTCTGCCCTGCAAAATTCAGGACTGACTATGAAGGAAAGGCCTATATATTTTCCAGTGTTTTTCAAGACTGTTGGATAGAATGAAAAATAATAGTACTGTAGATCAGAATCAGTAACATGAGAAAAGTGATTGAAATTTTGTTATGTCAGCTGTAAAGCACTGTAATATTATGCTTCAGCTGCAAGCACACAGCATTCAGTTTAATGTTTAAGTTAAAATTAATGTGGGATCAGTCTATCCCCTATTACTACATTAAGTATTTAACAGTCTTTAAAAAACTGTAATCATACAAATCTTTCATCAGGATCACTGTGAGGTAGTTCCTTCTGTTCACACATTTAAGATTATACAACGGGAGTTAAAACCAAACACTCAGAATAGTACAGCCCAAAGAGCTTCCAATCTTACTTAACATGAGGCAATAAAACACCGAGGGGAAGGAACAAGAGATAATAACATTACAGCAGCAAGAGAGCGCATTTTTCAGCAAAGTACAACATCCTGTATTAATAAGCCAATAAAACACTGGGAGTGATTCAACTGTGAAAGGTTATGTGGTAGAAAACATGCTTTAAGGAGGACCTGGGAGTATGAGGAATAATGAGGCCTGAAAAGCTGCTACATACACTGACGCGCCACCACGCAAAAAGCTCTGCAGTTGAACGGGTTGGTAGAAGAAACACGTATACTTGTGTCAGATTGCTTTTTCCGTCAACCGCTGAAATTGTAACAGCAAAAGCGATGACAGCAGAACTAGAGCCGAGCACTGCCGCCGCCCGGCCGCCCCTGGCGGGCCCGGGGCCGGCTCCCGGCTGCCGAGGCAGCGGCTGCTCAGCTCGGGGCCGCAGCGCAGCGCCACGGGAACGCACACTAATAAAAGTCGAGACTTGACAGTTGCGGCGGCGGCTGCTGCTGGACCTCGCTGCGGCTCCCAGGCCCCGCTGACACCCCCCGCCCCGGGACGCCTTCCCGCGCTCCGGCTGCCGGAGCGGTCTCTCGCTGCCCCCGGCAGGCGCGGCGAGCTCCCCGCTGGGCAGGCGGCGGGACCTTTTGCTCCTCGATTTCAAAGCGAACCCCAGCTCGGCGGCGGCCGGCGGGAAGGGCGGGAGGAGGGCAAAGGGCCGCGCCGGGCCGGGCCGGGCCCGCGCCTCCCCCCCCGCCGCGGCGGCGCGCACTCACCTCCGCTCCGCCACACGTTGACAGCTCTGGGCGCCGCCATCTTGCCCATGTGAGGCGGGGTCACGTGGCCGCGGGCGGCGGGGCGGGCCGGGAGCCTCGGCCGTTGTTGGCGGGAAGCGGGGCGGTCCGCGCGCCGCCTGAGGCGAAGGCGGGCCCCGGGTAGATGCTTGACGAGCCCACCCCTCAGTGGGGATGCCGTCCCGGAGCCGGCGGAAGTCGGCTCCGCGCAGTCCTCTCTCTCTGTCCCGTTAGCCCTCGCAGGGCGCGGGGCCCGGCTGCTCCCCGGCTGTGGCGGCGGGGCGAGAGCGCCCCCTTCCCGCCCTTCCGCGGCGGGGAGCGGCGGGGCTGTGAGCGAGGCGCTAGGGCACGGGCGGGACCGGGACCGGGACCGGGCTGGCAGGTGACAGCCCTCAGCTCTCAGTGTAGCCCGCGCCTGGCCTGCGGTGAGATGCTGGGCAGCCTTCAGGTTGTTGCTCTCTTGAAGTACTGTTGAAGTGCCCGTCTGTATAGTCCCCATTCTGCTTAGCTTCGGAACATGCCCAGCAGGCTTGGGAACTGTGCTCTTCCCACCAGCGAGAGATGTGGCAGTGAGACAGCACTTCCCAAAGTGGAGTCTCAGAAGAGTTGTGACCATACTACATGAGAGCTGGAGCTACCTCATAATTTCTTTCTCTTTTACTTAAAAAAAAAAACAAAACAACACAACTTTTTTATAGTTTTGTGAATAAAAAGATGAACTACTCTTTAGGAACTAAGTTTTTCCTGGTTTATTTGTTGTAAAGGCCTATGCAGGGTACGAAGGCTAAAGCTTGAATCCTAAAACTAATTTTCTAGCAAATCTCATTTCATCTGCACAGCCAAACCTTATGCCTTTAGAAAAGACCTAAAAGAGCAAACTTTTCAGTAGAGGAGCATCTTTCCAACCTTTTTTTTTTTGTACAGGTATCACCTTACTTTAAAGAAATCTCCAAAGGCCATCTTATGCAGTGGTGGTGTGGCTGGTTTAATTTTCAGCGAAATAAAAATCAAACTAAACTTAATGTCCGTTTATGATTTTTATTTTCTCACATCTTGTTCCCTTGCCTGCATTTGTCTTGTCTGTATGAGTAGTTAAAAACATTTTGAAATTACGGTCTTAGGGATATTCAGAGTTTGAGAAACACTGTTATGGGACATAAATCCAACAGCTGGCTGGCAAATACTAAACCTAAAGGAATCAAATCACCAAATGAAAGAACCAATAGAATGCATTAGGTCATTGTTGCAAGAGTAGAGGGAAGAAACCAAAACGTAGACATACTACAAGTATCCTCTCTTATATCCTCACACACATCATGATATTCGTATCCTTACACACACCCACATGTATACACACAGTGGTAACCTGTAGGATAAGTAAGCAAGTTATCAAATGAAAACTGGGGCTGACTGTTTATCTCCAGATTTGTTTATCTCCTGGTACAGTTGTTAGTAGTTTTTAACTTTACACGCACAAATTTCATCACAGAATCATAGAATGGTTTGGGTTGGAAGGGACCTTAAAGGTCATCCAGTTCCAGCCCCCTGCCATGGGCAGGGACCCCTTCCACCAGACCAGGCTGCTCAAAGCCCCGTCCAACCTGGCCTTGAGCCCTTCCAGGGAGGGGGCAGCCACAGCTTCTCTGGGCAACCTGTGCCAGAGCCTCACCATCATCACAGTAGAGTTTCTTCCTTATATCTAATCTGAATCTGTCCTCTTTCAGTTTAAAACCATTACCCCTCATGCTGTCACTACACTCCCTGATAAAGAGTCCCTCCCCGTCTTTCCTGTAGCCCCCTTTAAGTACTGGAAGGCAGCTATAAGGTCTCCCCAGAGCCTTCTCCAGGCTGAACCACCCCAACTCTCTCAGCCTGTCCTCATAGGGGAGGTGCTCCAGCCCTCTCATCATCCTCGTGGCCTCCTCTGGACCCACTCCAGCAGGTCCATGTCCTTCTTCTGTTGGGGGCCCCAGAGCTGGACAGAGGACTCCAGGTGGGGGCTCACAAGAGCAGAGTAGAGGGGGACAATCCTCTCCCTCAACCTGTTAGCCACATTTCTCTTGATGCAGCCCAGGACACAGTTGGCTTTCTGGGCTACAAGTGCACATTTCTGGCTCATAGTCAGTTTTCCATCCATTATTATCCCCAAGTCCTTCTCCGCAGGGCTGCTCTCAGCCCACTCATTGCCCAGCCTGTATTTGTCCTTGGGATTGCCTTGACCCATGTGCAGGACCTTGCACTTGGCCTTGTTGAACTTCATGAGATTTGCACAGTCCCACCTCTCCAGCCTGCCCAGGTCCCTCTGGATGCCATCCCTTCCCTCCTGTGTGTTGACTGCACCACACAGCTTGGTGTCATCAGCAAACCTGCTGAGGGTGTGCTCAGTCCCACTGTCCACGTTGCTGACAAAGATGTTAAACAAGCACTGGGCCCAACACTGACCCCTGAGGAACGCCACTCGTCACTGCTCTCCACTTGGACATAGAGCTGTTGACCACAACTGTTTGAGTGTGACCATCCAGCCAATTCCTTATCCACTAAGTGGTCCATCCATCAAATCCATGACTCTCTGATTTAGAGACAAGGATGTCATGTGGGACAGTGTCAAATGATTTGTACAAGTACAGGTAGATGACACTCCCTTATCCACCAATGCTATAACACCATCACAGAAGGCCACTGAATTCATCGGGCACAATTTGCCCTTAGTGAAGCCATGTTGGCTGTCACCAATCACCTCCTTATTTTCCATGTGCCTTAGCACAGTTTCCAGGAGGATCCACTCCATGATCTTGCCAGGCACAGAGGTGAGACTGACTGGCCTGTAGTTCCCTGGGTCTTCTTTTTTCTTCTGTTTTTAAAAATGTGGGCTATGTTTCCCCCTTTTGAGTCAGCAGAAACTTCACCAGACTGCCACAGCTTCTCAAATGTGATGGATAGTGGCTTAGCCACTTCATCCATTAGTTCCTATGGATGCACATCATCCGGTTCCATGGACCTTTGCATCTTCATGTTCCTTAAATGGTCTCAAACCTGACCTTCTCTTACAGTGAGCCATTCTTAATTCTCTCAGTCCCCACCTTTGCCTTCTGTGTCTTGTAAGGTGTCGCTGAAGCACTTGCCGGTGAAGACTGAAGCAAAAATGTCAGAGTACCTCAGCCTTCTTCATATCCTGCGTAATCAGGTCTCCCATATCCTTCTGGAGAGGGCCCACATTTTCCCTAATTTTCCTTTTGTCACTGACATACCTATAGAAGCTTTTCTTGTTGCCCTTGATGTTCTCTGCCAGATTTAATTCTATCAGGGCTTTGGCCTTCCTAAACTGATCCCTGGCTGCCCAGACATTTTCTCTGTATTCCTCCCAGGCTATCTGTCCTTGCTTCCACCCTCTGTAGGCTTCCTTTTTATGCTTGAGCTTGTCCAGGAGCTCCTTGTTCATCCATGCCGGCCTCCTGGCAGCCTTGCCTGACTTCCTCTTTGTCGGGATGCATCAGTTTCAAGCTTGGAGGAGATGGTCCGTGAATATTAACCAGGTTTCTTGAGCCCCTCTTCCCTCCAGGGCTTTATCCCAAGCTAAATGTAGTTTATAATGTAGTTAACAAGAATAGACTCAAAGCCCATGGCAGATGGGAATTGGAATGCTGTTTACTCTGGAAAAATCCCCAAAAATGTATGAACTTAAAAATTACACTGCTAGTATTTCTGCCTTTTAGGAGCAAATTCCAAGCATTCTCTGATCAAAAAAATGTGCTATGATCAGTGGTCCTATACAGACTTCGCTAGCAAAAGTGCATCACTTAATCAGCTGGCACAGCGCAATAGGCAGCCAATCACGTAGCTTATATCTAGATCACATAGTAGTTTAAAGATCAATATCTTGCACTTCCTCTAAAAAATAAAACAATCCACTTCTTATAGCCACATCCTGCACTGACTGACATGTTTCATCATATTTTTTTCAATGAGGACAGAATGATAGGATTTTAACAGAAGAAAAACAGAGCTAGAAATAAATGAAGAAATAACACTGCTAAGCTGCCCAGTTACACCTTGTGAACATCATTACCGAATGCACACTGGTGAGAGGTATGCACACATTTAATTTGCAGGGCAGAAATGTGCATGTCTTCATCTTGTTCCTAATTCTGCAACATAGCATGGTCTTTCAGGAGTTTGAATCTTGTCAGGCATCATTTTATTTTCTATCTTGGCAAGGCCTTAGGAATGCAGATATCTAACCACTGGTTCTATCAACAAGGATTTACAGTGTAAAGCAATCACACACTATTCTGCTTAGCAGAAGTAACTACATGTATGCTGGAGTGGGTGTGCTTGTGTGTGCCTAAAGAGAACAGCACGTTTCACATGAAAGTAGCCATGTACGATGAGTAATTCACCATCTTTTCCTGAACTGGCACTGAAGGAGAGAAACGAAGTGCCGAGGTAGCCTAGTCTCACCTTTCTTATGTGAGTCAGTAGGTATTTCCTACTCAGTGGAATGAGGCCACTGTTAAAGAAAATTAAGTGAATGCTCGGCTTTTGTCTGCAGCCATGAGACCAAAATTCCATATTGTAACAGCCTGAAAATTGGTTGATGCGGGAACTGGAGACAATACTAGTTATGCTGCTATCACCTTGTCCTTAAAAGTGTCAGGTTATTTTACTTGTAGGTACATGCTAGTGGTTAGACTGGACCAATTCCTTTTGCATATCAGAAACCAAGAATTACAATCTATTATATTCCAAGAGAACTGTGTAATTTTTGCAGTCTCTGGATTAATCTTAAGCCTAACAACAGTCATCATTCGGTAGTCTCTAATTTATGCTTAGATGAAGGTTTTATTCTTTTACTATGAAATAAAAATAACAGATATAGGTTTCCTAGGAGCTTTATACCAGAAAAATGGGAATTAATATCCCACAAAAGGAGAGATATGCCATATCCTAACACAGCAAACCTGAAAAATCATATTCTGCCAAGTTCAAGTTCTGTCAACAAAAGAAAATACATCACTTTTCCTCATGTATATAGTTGTCTTCTGTTTACATTTGGCAAATCCTCTGAAATGTTTAAGATGGAGTGTGATGTCTCAAGCTGTCCTGAGCTTCAGGTTGAGAGGCAGCTTTGGAGAAATCACTTTTCAGCCCAGGGTCTTTTGAACATATTTGTGTGTTATGTTCTTCAAGGACAGCCTTTCACATCCCATCTCACTTAGATTGGCTCTGTGCTCTCAGAGTCAGCATGTTCTAAATGTGGAATCTCAATTTCCTCCCAAGACTGGGTAGGCTGATATTAAAATAAGCAAAAGGTGTGCTAGGAAGACATAAAGCTATGCTTTTAAATGCAAGTCCGAAAGCAGTCTGTAACAGCCTATAAAACAACAGTTATGCCTTATGTATACTTGAAATCTTAAATAGAGCAACACAGAAATATGTTTCTACTTTAAGTATAGCAGCTGGATACTTCTGGGGTTAAGCTTAGACTGCTCAGACTTTCCT